CCCCCCCCCCGTGACGGGCGAGGCGGGGCAGTGCCCACTGTGGGTGGCCGAGGTGCCCTGGGAGGCAGCCAGCGGGAGGTTGGGGGCTCCGTGCGGCCCTGCTGGAAGCAGAGGGTACCAGCGGGCGGCAGCCCGAGGAGGGGAGCAGAGGGGCGCAGTACTCCTCGTCTGAGGAAGAGATGGGGCTTCCCGCATTGCGCTTCCTGCTCGCCTTCACTTCAACACCCGGGGTTTAGGGGAAACCCTGCGTCCCCTAATGACCAGCGGGTGACAGTGAATCCACACGCCATAGGATTGCCTATATAAAACAGAAGTTTGGAAAACAATACTGTCTTTATTATCCAAACACCTTGCATGATACCCCAGTGCCACCCTTGAGCCAGATCCATCCTCCATGTGGGTGCTGGCTGGCTGTGGTGTGAGGGATACACTGAATCCACTTGACAAAACAGCACAATAAGTTATTGGCTAATAACAAAATGAAAAGAAATCTGAACTTAGCTTCTGGTAATTGATGTTACTAGAAACTGGTGCTTTCCCTGTTCAGGTCATCGATAGCCTGTGTTTGGATTTTCTTTTTGCGAATACGAGGTCTGGGAAGAGATGACATTAGTGAAGAATGTAGAAACAAAGAGTCTGATCCTAGGACTGGAGGTTTTGCCACAAAAGCACTAGCTGATGTGTCCTGGTAGTCAGGGCAGGGAAAGTGAGCCTAGACAAGCTCTCTTGAGCATCGGAGGAAAAAGATAATGAATGTGGGCAAAAATAATGGTAATTTGTTGCTATATGGCAAATGTAGGAAACGTCAAACTGAACTTATATGTGTTCTCCATCTCTTTCTTCATAGGGATTGTTTTAAAGAATGTGGAGGAATGGTCCCTGAAACTTTTTTGAGTTTCTTACCTTTCTCTTTTGGCCATGATCAAATGCTTGGAGGAAGATGTGAGAGCCAGGTTACGCTCTGGAGTGGCCATCAAGTCTCTGGGTCAGTGTGTTGAGGAGCTTGTCCTCAACAGCATTGATGCTGAAGCAACATGTGTGGCCATCAGGGTGGATCTGGACACCTTTAGGATCCAAGTGGTGGACAATGGCTCTGGGATAGGGCGAGAGGACCTAAATAAAGTGGGGAATCGCTATTTTACCAGTAAATGCAGCTCAGTGGAGGATTTAGAGAACCTGAAATTTTATGGCTTCCGAGGAGAAGCTTTGTCAAGTATAGCAAATATGGCCAGCATAGTGGAAATTTCATCTAAGACCAATAAGACAGTTAAAACCTTCACAAAACTGTTTCAAAATGGGAAACCAATGGAAGTCTGTGAAGCTGAACTGACTAGACCAAGTGGTGGAACAACAGTAACTGTGTGTAATCTCTTCTACCAGTTACCAGTGAGGAAGAAGTGCATGGATCCAGTCCTGGAATTTGAGAGAGTAAGGCAGAAGGTAGAAGCTCTTGCACTCACGCATCCTTCTGTCTCTCTTTCCTTAAGAAACGATGCTTCCTGCTCCATGGTGCTTCAGCTTTCCAAAGCAAAAGACATTTGTTCTCGCTTTTGTCAAATTTATGGACTGAGTAGATCACAGAAGTTACGTGAAATAAATCATAAGTGTGGAGGATTTGAGTTGAGTGGCTATATTAGTTCAGAAGGGCATTACAATAAAAATCTGCAATTTTTGTACGTGAATAATAGACTGGTTTTAAAAACAAGATTACATAAACTCATTGATTTTTTATTAAGGAAAGAAAGTGTTATTTGCAAGACAAAATCTAGCTTTGCTGGTAAACAGATGAGTTCAAGTCCTGCACGACATCGGTGTGGTCCAGAGCTCTACGGTATATTTGTTGTCAATGTGCAGTGTCAATACTGTGAGTATGACGTGTGTCTGGAGCCCGCAAAAACGCTGATTGAATTCCGCAACTGGAACGGTCTTCTAGCTTGTGTTGAGGAAGGGGTGAAAGCATTTTTAAAACGAGAACACTTATTTATTGAACCGTCTAGTGAAGACATCAAAGAATTTAATGAAAATAATGACTTTTGTTTGTATAGTGCCACAATAAAACCTATGCTCATTGAAGAGACAAGTATGAAGGACAATTTTAAGAAAGCATGTGATGATATTGTGGATTCCTATGAAATATTTAATTTGCAATCCAAAGACATCAAAAGAAAAGCAACTACTGGAAAAAAATCTTCAGATCCCAGATATTCAAATGACAGAGCTGAGGAAATGGAAGTTTCCTCAGATCTAACCATTGCTGAACCAGCTAACACATTTAAGAGTAGTAAAACTAAGAGTCCTTCATTCAACAAAGATGACACTACTACTGAAATCCCAGAGCAAGATCCAGAAGAATTTAATAGTTTGCAAATGGCATCTGGTCACAAATCTTTAGAAAATTTCTGTGGAGAGGCCAGATCAGAAATAATAGAAATAGACAATTGTGATGAAAGGCCATGTTGTACTGAAAATTATGTACAAGTTGCAAGAAGCCATCATGACAAAGTGGCTCTAAAAAGCAACACCACTATTGCTTTCAGAAATGATGTCACTCAAGGGCAGCAGAAGGGAATAAAAGTTTCTACTGAAATAGCTGAAGGGCCAGAAATCCTTGTTGGAAGGGCATCCATGGGAATATGTGCTACAACAAAAGAAAACCGTGGAACTACTACAAGAACATATACCTCTGGTGGACAAAATGTAATTAGCTCAGGACTGTTAAAGTTGTGTTCCACAGGGCTTATAACTCATGTCATACAAAATCAGTCACCACCTGAACAAACTGAAATGAACTGTTCATTAAGCATGCCTTTTAGACCTGGTCCTGTAAGTGCCAAGGATATATTTGGAAACAAGACTATTTATTCACTTCCATCTCTAAATATTCGAGATGTTTCTAGTAGTCTAAATAAAGACAATCCTATCCTATCCAAAAGAGAAGTGTGCAGAGCAAATGCAGAGGAGAGGTTGGAAAATGAGACTGTATCAAATCAGAGGAATAAAGAAGTAGCTTTCTGTATAGCAGGTAGTAGAAGGGATTGTGTGAGATCACACACTAATGAGTTGCCTCTGATCACTTCCTCAGGTGATGTTACCAACTACAGAAGGCAAATGGTTGAGCAGTCTGCTTGGTCTGTACCCCGAGCTTATAAGAAGCTGAGTTTGTCCACAAAGGCAGGATCATTAGAGAGATTTAGGAGACATTATGGAAAGCCCAGGAGTGAACCATCAATATCTATTTCAGAGAAGAGGTGTGAATTTGGGCTCCCAGTTGAGCTCAGTACTCCAATTGATCTTGACACTTCCAAAAATCAGAATAATAATACTGAATGCTTTAGTATTTGTGAAACGCCAACTGTGGAACATGCTCATTCTAATAATAGTTGCCAATCTGGTTGCTTTCCTTCCTTGGAGAGGACTCAGTTCTGTGGCACAGGCTTTTTGTTAGACAGACAGACTTGTGAGAGAGAGAGTCCTTTGACACTGACCAATTACTGTCAGAGTAGAAGAAAAGATAAAAGCAACAGTAGATCTCCAGGGTCCCTGGCCTCTAAACTATCTAGAATGAAAGGTGACCATGAAGAAGTTTTAGCTCCAGAAGTTGGGCAGCTTGAGAAACAATCCCAAACTGATTTAAGCAGAAAAGATGATACAGGGAAACTTGTGTCTCAAAGTGAAAGTGATAATTTATTGCAAAGTTCTTATGAAATGTGTCAGAATTCCTCACAAGAAGCAGAGGTAGGTGGGCATGGTTGCCTCTCTCTAGCCTCTGATGAGATGAATATTCCCCAGAAAATGCGTTGTATGAGAGCAGGGGCCATGGAAAATACTGTCAACCACAGCAGCGATGAGGCTCCATGCAGTGGCTTGGCATTGCCTGGTAAAAAGGTTTGGTCTGAAGATGCTTGCCAAGATCAAAGTGTTTTAGATGTGTTTTCAGAGCAGAATTTGAAAGCCACTCAGCTTCCAAGTGTGACCTTACCAGATAGCTTGGCAGTCTCTCCAGATGATACAAACATGGCTAAACCTGTGAATGAGGATTCATTATCATGTGCTTCTGACTGGTTGCAATATTTTGATGTTTCCTTGGGTAAGACAGTTTACATCAACAAAACAACTGGGCTAAGTACCTACAGCACTCCTCCCTCTGAAGAAGTTCAAGCTGTTTGCACAAAAGATATAACTACTATGGCTGTGAACGTTGTCTTAGAGAGTGGTAAGAACATGGTGCTTAATTTTGTTGCAAAGAAAGAATAATGTGAACTGCATAAAGACTTGCATATGCAAACTGTTAAATTACACTGATTGATTGCAGGTGGAAGGAGGTGAGGATAATGATGTATCTTCTTAAATCTGTGATACGCACTTAGCTCTTTAATTTCTTCAAGTAAATACATTTTGTTATTTCATTATTGTTCCACAGAGAATGGGGGCCTGAATGGTACCAAAGGAGATTGGGTGAAATGTGTACCATGGGCTGAAGGTCTAGGTCACTTTCCATCCTAATCCTGGTAATAGTGTAGGGTCATAATATGCTGCTTAAATCACTCTTGTAAGGATTGGAACAGGCCATTGGGCTAATTCTGGTACTTCACATAGTCTCAGTAACTTTAACTTTCCATAAACTTATTCATGGACTCCATTTATTTGTTTATTTTTATACAAAGTTTTAATACGAGTAACAGCAAACTGATAGTGCCAGTTTTCCTGAATATGGGGTAGGAATGGGCATTTTTGTATTTGGTATATTGGGGGCTTTTCTATGGTTCTTTCTGTCCTTTCAGAAAAATACTTTCAAATTGCAACCATTCTGGAAATAATCCTCATTGATTAAAGGAGTAACATGCTCTTAAGAATCCTTGGTATGCAGACTCTTCAATAATGTCAGCCATCTCAGAAGTATTATTCACTTTTAGTCTGTGTAAGCACAGGACACCCCTTGGCTCCCTTAGACAGCATTGGCATGTGTAGCAAAGGCCAGAAAGGCAAATTATGCCATATTTTGTAAACCTCTGGTTTAAAACATCTACTAATGATTATTGCCCTGTTTCATACATATAGAAGGTCATTCAGTACTCTCAGGTTATGAAATTTGTCAGGATGGGGCCCTTACTGAGGTCAAAGTTGAAATGGTATAAATTAAGTTAAAGAAACAGATGCCTTCTGTATAGTGTGATCAGCTATGCTGTGATATGTCATGGCACAGCTGATTGTGCTCCACACACCTCGCAGTGGGCCATGCCCCAAATTGTAGCACATCTGCAAGCAGGGGAAAAAAACTTTGCTTGCAGACACACTCCCCCACTACCCAACATATGAACAAATATGTTTAATTTTCACCATACTGTGCATGCAAAGGTATTGTATTATGAATCTTAATCTTCATTCAAATCCTTCCTCAAAATGTACTTCTTCTGCCAAATTGGCCAGTGTTTTCCCAGTCACATTAGAAATCATATTAGGTAGCTATATTTGTTTATTTTTAAATGCATTTCCCAGGGCTGACCTTCAGCTGGCCATTCAGAGCATCCAGCATTTTTAATTGTTATTTCTCCAGTTTTAACTGCAAACTCTGTGGGGCAGCACAAGGCCTTCCTCTGTGTTGTACAGGGATGAGCATGCTAATGTCTTTGTTTATAAACATGTGAATACCACAGCCCTCTAAATATTTATTTTAGCTTTCTGCCAGCTGTTAAACTTGCTGCAATAAATTTTTGTTGTGTATTCAGGGTTTCAGTGCAGGTGCTATCCCTTTAGAAGTGAGCTTGTTCTACCCTTCCTTCCTAGACCTCGAGAAGAGAGGATTCTAGCAAGCCAGCATTCCAGAGGTAGGGTCATTTTGCCAGGACATAGAATACTATGTTAAAAACAAACCCAAGAATTCTTCCAGCTGTCCTGACAGGAACTCATAGTTACTCAAGGTCTGTTAACAATGGGACTGTGAGTCATTTTGTGTGTGTCTGAAAATATACTAAAGAATTAGAGTTGAAGTCTGTTAGGGGGTGCTTATTTACAGGACAAAGTGCCCAGTTCTCTGTAAAATCATGTTAATAGTTTAAAGAGCAGTTATCTAATCCTTTTCTCTGTCTCTGTTCCAGCCAGAGAACATAAAAATGGGTTTTATTCTTAGGATTCTCTTCCCTAACAAGGGGTGAAATTGCCACTTTGGTATGTGTCTTTATCTAGTGGGAGTGGGTAGCTGAGGTTTATCCATCTTTTTATTTTTTTCTTTCCAGGGAGTGTTGGATTGTGCTGCAGTGTGTATAATATTGAAATCAGAGAAGCTTCCTAGAGTTCTAGTCCCAACAGACAGTAAGAAGGCACAATCCTGCATTCCCTTGTTAATCTGTTTTCCTCAAGAATAAAAAGACCAATGTGAAATTGGAGGGGGGGCAACTTGGTGGAAGTGAACAATGAATACATCGTCTGCTGACTTTCCTTTCGGTGTCTATGAATCCATGTTTTACATATGTTCTCTCCTAGAAGCTGATGCTGATTCTCTCCAGTCCTTGTTGTCTGGCTGGGATAATCCCATATTTGCTTGCTACCCAGAGGTAGGTATTATTTTGCATCCACAGTTGCAGGGTGGGATCATCTCAGTCTCATCTTCTATTATGTTGTGACTTTTGGATCAGAATGGCAAGTACTAGAACCACTGTGCATATTTAGTCTGTTATACGTGTACCTAGATACTTGATAGTTATACCGTTCTGTAGATGTTTATACAGTAGTCCCATTTTTTTAATTTATGCAGATTAAGACAAGTATTATGGATGATCCTGTACCTTGTGTTTTTTGGAAACGATAATGTTGTGTAGGCTATGTCTGTTACTACAGAAGTCACAGCATCTGATGAAGAGCTTCAACTCATGAAAGCTTGTACTGTGTATATATGTGTTTACACACACACACACACACAAACACACACATTTTGGTTAGTATAGAAGGTGCAAATCTACCCTGCCTTCTGCTTGACTACAGACTAACATGGCTAACTATGTCTAACTACAGAACTAGCTATCTTGATGAAAGATAAAACACTGTTCCATAGCATGATTTAGGATAGTTTCTGTCCTTTTTAGGGAGGCGAAAAACAAGCACATTTATGTTTGTTATATGAGTAACAACTGGGTATCAAAAACATATTTGACTTGGGTTATTTTTATAGTATTGGCAGGATGATAATATGCCAGGGAAAATAAAAGTTGGAGCTTTTAGAGCTACATCCTGTGTAGTTATGAGGTAATGTGTGAGCATACCGTTTTAGTCAGGATGTACAATATGTACATAACTATTTCCACCTGTATACAATTGAGATGGAATAGCAAACCACCTGCTGCTAGGTTTCCGAAAGGGAACAATTCTTTAGCAAATTTGTTACAGTAACATGAATTCTTGCGTCATTCTGGGATAATTCATCTTCCTTCATGTGCAATGCGTTGAATGTGTATGTGTAGGTTGATAACTAATTTCAGGTTGTCTAATGGCTTTTCATTGAAATAGCTCTTATTATCCGGATGTGTGTGAGTGCTGAAGTGGGAGCAGAGGGACTGCCAGATGGTATTTTGAATTAGTGCTGTTCTTATTAGAAGAATCAGTGTACCAGGTACAGAGGAACCCATTTCTAGAATGGTCTTACTCAAAGTTGACAATATGATTTTTGTGACCTTAAACTCACAAGTCATGCTTGTATCCTAAAAAATGATTTGTGATGTTCTATTTCATAGGTTGCTGTTGATGTGAGTAGTAGCCAGGCTGGGAATCTGGCTGTGAAAGTTCATAATATCTTGTATCCCTATCGTTTCACCAAGGAGATGATTCATTCAATGCAGGTAATGTAAGAGTTGATAAGTGCTTTGTGTAAACAGCTGTATTTCAACAGCCATGGCCAAATAGGATGTGTGAGCCTTTCCACTGAGTGGGAGAGAGAGACAGAGAAATAAATAACACTCTTTATCTGCAAAAAAAATCCCAACATTTTTGATTTGTGTGAGAAGTGGCAACAGATATGCTTATCAAGCCAGATCTTGAGACCATCTCTTAGATGACTGTAAACAGTTATCTGCAGAGTGATTCTAAAGTGGTTGCATTTAAAGCTAGTTAAGACAAGAGCCAGCCTTGCTATTGCTGCTTTATAATACACAGAATTATTACTGGCATTGTTTAAGTAATGTATTGTCTGACAGTTTTTTAGTTACTTATTATGGCTATTTGCTTAATTTGGTATCTCTGATAACTGCGTCTTGTGCATTTTCAAATCATTTTGTCTGAACGATGTTGACCTTCAGCTGAGCAGTTTCAGTAACAAATCGCAGATCTCAAATAAGGACTTTAAATTTCATCTTAGAGTGTAGGTCAGTCAGATTCTAAGAAAGGCATCATAAACATGGAGCCCAACCATATCTCAATGATTCTTTATCAAAAATTTTGTTTGTAAACTGAAAAATTAATGCTGAATACACTCAAATCCAAGGCAACCCTGAATTTAAGATGACCCCCATAAATATATATGGAACATGTATAAATTTGTTTTTCCAAGCATAGAAACTAATTATTGGAGGGTTGTCTTGAATTTGTCCCTGCTCCACCACTGCTACAGCAGGGAAAGCAATAGCTGGGGAGTGGGGGTGGGGGGTTCAGGTTGCCCCCTTCTCTGCCCCCTCACTTCTCCCTGCAGCCTTTCTGTCCCCCCTGCCACCTACACCTGTCCACCCCCAGCTCCCTACAGTCTCTGCCTATTTCCCCCACAGTGCTGTAGATATAGTGTATCTGGCCTTCAGCAAGGCTTTTGACAAGATCCTGCATGATCTCGTAAACAAATTGGAAAAATGTGAGCTGGATAAAACTACTATAAGATAGGCAACTGGCTCAATAGCTACAAGCAAAAGGTACAGTAATTATTAATCGGTCCATGTCAGAATGGCAGGAGACTTCGAGTGGAGTCCCACAGGGATCTGTCCTGGGCATGGTGCTGTTCAGCATATTTATTAACAATTTGGATGCTGGCTTAGAAAGCTTCTTGAGTAAGTTTGCAAATGACAAGAAACTGGAAAAGATTGAGAACACATTGGAGGATGTGAGCAAAATTCAGAAGGATCTTGACAAATTGGAAAGCTGGGCTAGAGCTAAGAGGATGAAGTCCAATGTGGACAAATGCAAGGTGCTACACCTTGGAAGGAATAATAAAAAAAAAATAAAATGGACACCTGGCTGGATGGCAGCACTATGGAGTCTTGGTAGATCACAGACTCCGTGCGAGTCTGCAGTGGATGCAGCCACACAAAAAGCAAATTTGCTGTGCTCCAGGGAGGAGCTGCATTGATAGAAGCATTATGTGCAAGACTTGGGAGGTAATAGTGCCTCTATTTGGCACCGGTCAGACCTCAACTGGAGTACCATGTGCAGTTATGGGGTTCATGTTTTAAAAAGGACATGGAGAAGTTAGAGAGGGTCCAGAGGCAGGCAACAAAGATAATCAAGGGCTTGAAAGGCAAGTCATATGAGGAGACGCTGAAAGAGCTGGGCATATTCAGCTTGTGGAAAAGGTGTTTAAGTGGGGACATGATAGCAGTCTTCAGACATTTGAAGGGCTGCCATAAAGAAGGAAAGCAGCTTTTCTCTGGTGTTGCAGAGAGGAGGACGTGGACCAATGGCTTGAAGCTGCAACAAAGTAAGTTTAAACTGGATATCAGGAAAAGAAATTTCACTGTTAGAACAGCAAGGCAGTGGAACAGAGTGCCTAGGGAAGTTGTGGACTCTCCATCATTGGAGGTGTTCAAGAAGAGGTTGGACAGCCATTGGTCAGGGATGACCTAGGCATAGTTGTGCCTATGTTCTACTATGGGTATTTCCTGTGCTTCTGGGCATCCTTTTCTGCTGTGTGTCAGGGATTTTTTAAGCCTTCTTCAGAGGCATTGGGTGTTGGCTGCATCCAAGGCTAGGGACTTTGACTAGGGTGTGACAGTGCTTCTGTTGGGATCAAAGCTGGAGGTTCCTGGCTAGAGGGTCTTGCCTTTTCGCTCAGGGTCAGACCAATCACCATATTTGAGGTCAGGAAGGAATTTTACCCCGTGGTCAGGTTGGTACAAACTGTGGGGGTTTTGCCTTCCTCTGTAGCAGCTGACTCTCTACCCAAGGTCTCTTCAAGTATATATTCACATATATAAGTATATATTTCACGGAAGCGGGATATTGGTTGCCATGGTTCCCCTGCTTTACCTGTGGCAGGTTAGGGTGTTAGGTCTGTGTTGTGTCAGGGTTGACCATAGTCTTATGTAGAGTTTAGCTTATAGATTGTATAGGATAGTTTGGATAAGGATGATCCTGCCTCAGTCAGGGGGTTGAACTAGATGACCTTTGGAGGTCCTTTCCAGTCCTTTTCTGTGATTCTTTGAACAACACTGCCTCTGCTTCTGCCTCTGCCTCTTCCCCTCTTTGGCCTGCCCTCTCCCCTTGGTGTCAGAGGCTGTCTGGGCTTTATTCCCTCCCTGGAGCACAGCAAGTGGAAGAGCTGCCATGCAGCAGTGTCAGCACTGCTGATTGGTTGGGAAGAATTACCATGTGATCTGTGCTGGGTGCAGGCGGGGGGTTGTGGGCCTGACTCTGCCCCATGCTGATTGGCGGGGGATAGCTCATCTTATATTTGAGCAAATATAGTCTATATTTTTTAGTTGCGAATTCTCAGTGTGAGCTCTGAAAGTCACACTGGGTTCTTTCTATCTCCTACATCTAATCTGGAAAAGATTCAGCAAGCCAAACTATATTTTTGTTTACCCTTATATGGCTACACTGGCATGTAGGAGTTGGCAGGGGTGCAAGTTACTGGGACTTAGTAAAAGAGTCTGTTGATGCAAAATGGGCTGTCCAGCTTCCGGACAGCTGGGGAATTGCAGACCCATGGGCCATGCATTGGGTGGGTGGGTGGGCGGGCAAGTGCTCTCTGTTCAGAACCTGCCCTCCCTACCTGTTGCACACACAGCATGGGCAGCTCAGCTTCCCCTACTGCCAATTGCGAAGGCTTTGCAGCAGCCCCTCTGCCACACACGTGGTATAAGCAACTTGCTTCCCACACTCTCCCAGATGCTTATGTTGTGCAGGCAGCCCAGCCACACCCCTTTGCAGCACAGGCAGCCTGCCTTCCCTCTTCCCTTCCGCAGCCCATGAGCAGGACATCCCCTGTTCCCAGCTGTGTGCACCACATAGAAAGCCCCCCACCACAGCACAAGGTAGCTTGGCTCTCTTCCACTGCACATATAGCACCTACTTTTCCTCTTCTACCTGCACACACTACCCAGCTGCTGTGCATGCAGCTCGGGCACTTCAGCCCCCTTCTGGCTGCTGGGACAGGAGCAACTGGGTGGAGGGGCTAGTGGCTGGGTGGGAGCCCATGGGCCTCATGCTAACACTTTGGGGGCCTGCCCTGATCCACAGTCTGCCAGTCGGACAGCCCTGGTATATAAGATGGACTAGAATCCAGCTCATTTACTCTTAGCTGTGTGGCCTCGGAAGGACTAAAAGGAATTTAAAAACATTGTCAGAAAGGCAACAGATATGTCTGAAACATATGGGAAAGAAGATGTTGCGATATGAAGGTATCATCTTCGCATTCACTTTTATAGGTAGGATTCCATTCTCCAACTTATTCAATGATTGTGAGGTTAACAGATGGAGAGGAGAGTAGTTTTCTTCCATAAAGATGTATGTCTCCCTTCTGAAAATGGTCTTGCCAATAGAAAATGGTTATTTTGAATTATGTTACAGGTTCTTCAGCAAGTGGACAATAAATTTATTGCTTGTTTAATCAATACTAGGAGTGAAGTGAATGAATATTCAGGTAAGAAGACTGTTATTACTAGCCATTAGCTAGCCTTCAAGTCCAGTTGCAGTGTCCCCTATCATGGCTGGATGCTGTCATAGTTCAGAAATGGGAATTTTAAAGTGCTTCTAAAAATAGACATTTTCAAAAGTGTGGGTTTTTTTAATCTCAGTGTTATTTGACAAATGCAAAATCTTTGTCAATAATATTAAGGAAAGTCAACAATAGCCAGGAGATTAAAAACAAAGTCCAAGAAGACTGTCTTTGTCTTGTGAAGCTGGCACAAAGCAGTGAGTTTAGAAGAGTGCTAGCCTTCACTTAGAATATCTTGACTCTTTTTTCTGTTTATTTTGGACATTCCTGAAGGACTTGTTCAAATTGCTGTTCATATGCACTGGTGATGAGTGTGATAGGGAAACATATTGTATTTCAAATTAGCAAAGGTATTAGATTCCATTTTCAGTTAATGGACACCTTCTGTATTGAAACTGACATGAGTTAAATGAGAAAAGCATTAAAAAACCCAGTGGCTTCATATTTTCTTTTAATCTGTTTAAAAAAATTGGAACAGGACTGTACCTGGCCTCCTTTTTAGACATGGAAAAAGGAAATTAGCCGCAGACATCATTACAAAAATAGAGACTCAGTCTGACCAGCCTAAGTGGTATTTCCCCACCTGTGCCCCAAATATAATATCTGCATTATTTTATATTCCCTTAACTTAGCTTTCTCCTGGATTTAGTTCTGTTAAAGAGATTGATCCCCACGTGGTAAATCTGATCTGTGAGTGAGCCATGAGTGAATCTCATTTTTCTGCCCAGTTGGTGCAGGTGTTTGGTATGATGGTACTTGTAGTTAACCTCCTCTGTTAACATTGCTAGATGGTAATCTGCTAGTGTTGGTGGATCAGCATGCAGCCCATGAGCGTATCCGCTTGGAGCAGCTCATTGCAGGTGAGAATTCACATGGTTCAAGATGAGCTATTCACTCCCCATCGGCGTGCAACACAAAGCTGTCTATGTAAGAAATATTGCTATTTTGGTTATATTAAGTGTAAAGGTCCCCAAGACATGCAGGAATCCTTTAGAATCCTCATCCTTCCTTCTGTACAAACCCATAAGATCTTGCAATCATCCTGTGTTAGTAGAAGTATTACTGGCAACCAAATGTGTGCTAGGTGTCTTCCAAAGTATTTAGGAGGGGCGATTCTTGTTCCAGGTAACAAGAATTTTAAATTGAAATAGACCAGATCTAAAAGGGTAATAAGGGTGACAGGAGAAGCAATGGAGAGAAAATAGAGTAATGTTAATGAGAGAGTACATTGTGGAAGCTAATGCACAGGGTCACAGAGTAAAGAGCTTGGGCAACATTGTTTGTGCTTTAACAAAATGGCATGCTTAGTACAGAAACATAAAATCACCATGATTTCCATAATTAGAAGAGCAGTTACAAGCCAAATGAAACAACTGCAACAGCTATAACATGCCACATACCCACTACATAGCGATTTTTAGCCACAACAAAACCACTTCCACTTGCTATATGATTGGAAATGTGGCAAGTTTCATTTGACAGACTTAACAAGGATATCAAAACGCATGTAGACATCACTGAACACCTTTCCTGCAGGTACAAAGGAAGATTGGTCAATGTGGAGATGTTTAAATTGCCATAGAACATGAGTCGGCTGTTCAAAGACATCATAGAGAAGTGAGGTTACTCTGTTGACCTGGACACATGTGACTGGGGTGAACCGTGACCATAAACATCAGTTGTACTGCTGGTTCTTGGAGGACCTGTGCACTGTGAAAGACCTTGTCAAGACTATACACTAGGCCATATTATGTGGCCAGTATTGGAAAAATCTATAACTGTGGCAGGACCCAAGAAGTAGTAGTCACTTGAAGTTACCTGCAGAAGAATAATGGTCTTTTCTCTGGCCTTGTTAGAGTTTGGCTGGAAATCATGATGCCCATTCAGTATTCACTTAAGATTGTTGACCTTCTCTCTCTTTTTTTCCAGTCTAAAAGCTTCCAGGAAAAATGTTGGGTTTTTTGTTGTTGGTGGTGGTGGTTTTTTTGTTTTTTTGTTTGTTTGTTTTAGCTCTGTGGTAAAAATAAAGATTAAGGACCTCTCTGGCAGCAAGGGGGAAATATTTAATGCATGGTATTTTGGTAGAGACTCTGCACTTGTTCCAGATAGTTCTGGGAACAAGTGGCCATCTCATGAGCTGAGATAACTGTAGCAACAACTCTTGCTATTTATGATGATTGCTTTTCAGTTCTGGAGGAGGATGCTAAGATAATATTAAACTGTCCTCTCCCCAGAAACCTTGCATTTCTTCCATAGTATTCCCCATGAGTCCTAGAAGGAAGAATCTATGGCTGCTTAATCTAATCACAGAGGGCTACACTGGAGCTCTGACCCACGATAGGAACTCTTGTGAGGATAATACAGAAATAGATATTTTAAGAGTGGTACTTTATCTATTTTACAGAGTCATATGAGAAACCATCTGCAGTATCTGGTAAAAAGAAATTACTGTCCTCCATCATCTGTCCTCCATTGGAGATTGAAGTAACAGAGGAACAAAGGAGACTCTTACGGTTAGTAGTAACCTAGAGCTCCAGTATCTTGGACAGGGTTCCATTAAGTACCACAGTCTGGACTCTGCTTGCTGTTTGCATACCACAGCCATTGCTGAAATTATTTACATTTTGCTTTTAGGAGGTGCATGCTGAATTCCAAGAGCCACAATGTGAGGGGTGGAAAATAGAGTATTATTGGGAAATACACATGGCAAGTCCTCAGAAATGACTCTTCCTTCTTCCAGGTGATCAAAACTGAAGTGACTGCATTGAATAAGCAGTGAACATTGTTTTCCAGATATTTCAGAATGGTGGATTGGCTGCTGTCAGGAATTCTCGCTCGTATAAGAATTTGGAAGAATAAAAGCAGATTTGGTTTTGACTCCTTAAACCTCTGTAGCATTAATCAAGGTTTTATTGAGAACTTCCTGTCTTTCCTCACACCAAATATCTTTGTGTTTTCTCCCATGCTATCCCTCATATATAGAAAGAACTCTTTATAAGCATCCATAAAGTTTCCTCATTGTCTTCATTAAAATTTCCCTGTGCTCATGCCTACAAAATACTTGGTAATGGTTAGGTTGCTGGTTTGCTGAGACCATTGCCTATGCTGAATAATATTACCTCATTATCCTCTTGTCTTCCATATGTCTAGAGCCACCTCTTGCCTTTTCTTTAGGTTGTGAGCTCTTTGTGGCATAGATTTTCTTGTTTTGAGTTTGTACAGCACCAAGTGTACTGGGCCTCTGGCCCATGTTGGGGACTGCCATGCAATATAATAATACACAATAGAGTAAATCAAGTAGGGTGGGTGCTTACAGTTAAAGGGCTTCCTCATCTTTGTGCTTGGGATGGATTTGCTTGGTAAAGGGGCCTCTAGGAGCCAAAAAAGTAAAGGAATAGATCAGATTTTTCCTTCTAATGTGTATGCGTTTTCATTTGTCAACAATTTCTTCTGTTATTTTCCTGGTTTTTTTAGGTTCCTCTGAGGTTTCCCTTTTTTTATCTCAGTCGCAACTACTGTAAACTATTTTTATGTCTTCTACAACTTTGGGTGCCTCAGTGTTCACTGTCTTTTCTAAATTGTTAATACACAGATTTCAAAATGTTGGTTATACTGCAGAATTCTTGGTATGTTGAAAACTGACCTTTTCTTCCTTTGCTCCTTTTTTTTCTGTCACACACTGTGGGCAGACATAACTATATACAGTTTTAGAAGATGTGTGTGTATGGAAATTTAGGGTCAGATTCTCTTCCATCCATTAGTTAGCTACGTGGACTTAGGCAGTTGGGTATGATCCTTTTCCATCCTGTTCACGTCCCTGAGAATCCATTAATGCATCTATTTTTATAAAACCCTCTCATCTTACACTTACAATTGCGTCACAAAAAACTAATGAAGGGGAGGAGGATCCACCCACCTTTTTCATTACTGTTTTTTCAGGGACTTGAGCCTGGAATTGAATCATTCTGGATTAAACAGATTTAAAATGACAGCGTTGTTACAGCTACACTTTCTACCAGTACAGGAACATAGAGACAAAATAGTTATACCGGTCCAGCATGACCCACAGTAAACTGGTATTATTTAAACTCAGTATATATTTTTTCTGTTCATGACCTTAGCTTCTTTCTTACCCTTCACGAAAATTTATTTTTCATTCTGTGGCTACTTCAGATGCTTTTAGCCACTTGTGCAAGGCACTGTCACAGCTTTACATAAATTTTATCAGCTAGTATTCTTTTCCTACATTTTACTGACCTACTTGGGGAATTCAAGCAGATGAGAGAGTCATAATTTTCTCCTTTGGAAGCTGGTTTGTCTACTTTATATCATGATCATCTTGCTATTTTACGCTTGCTTTTAATTATTGTTTCAACGTATACATCTGGTACTGGGATAAGATCCCACTAGTAAGAAATTGTTACTTACTTCCATTCCTCTGTTGTAATAGCTAATTATAATGAGAGTACACATTTTTGCATATTTTGACATTTCCGTGCTCATGCTGCTGCAGAACTCTTGGATACCAAATGCTTATCTTCCTCAGCTGGGCCCTTCCTACTTGACAGTGCATTTATCAGTTCTCTTGCATGGTCTCTGGTTTTGCTCTTTAGAGTATCCTGGGTATTTATTTTTGTGTTTAACTATTTGTCCTTCAAACTACCGTTTAGCTTAGCAAACTTTCATCTACCTACTGTAGTTTATTTTTTCTGTTACCTTCTCTAGAATTTGATTTCATGTTTTTGGAAAGATCCCTGTTAGTTTTCAATATCATCTTGGACATACTCGGGAAACCCCAGTGGCTTTTTTTCTGCTTTCATTTTTAGGAGTATTGATGCTTGTTGTGTTTCTGTTACGGTTTTACAAGTAGTGTTCATGAAGAGTCTGATCATTTTAATTTCCTCTGAATCAACTTTAGAGTATCTTTGTCTAGCTGCTTCTTTATTTGAAAATCCTTTTTAAAGTTGAGTGTCACAGTCTTGGTCCCTGGCCACAGTCCCTAAGGATTGTTATATAAAAATATATATATACTCTCTGTATTATGCATATAGAGAATAATGTAGCCACTTTTACTTGAACCATTTCCTACACAAAAACACTATGTAGTAAAGGGAACTGCTGAGATCTCAGAAATGTAAAGTAAGCAGTTTACACAGACATGAGGAAGGGGAATATGGTGTGAAAGAGAGAGATTGCTAGGAAATCCCAAGAGGCCATCAGACAGGTGATGGAGATGGGGAGTTGCTGTAGGACCTTCAGTAGTGGTCCGGAATGTCCGGCTCTGGAAACACGCCTGTTGGTGTTTGAGAAAGAGGTGCTTTTGTATTTTAAGACTGAGGTTTTCTTCTCAGGTGCTGTTACAAAAGCCTGGAGGATTTGGGCCTTGGATTATCATTTCCAGAGAACAGGAACCAAATTCTAGTGGGGAAAGTGCCCTTGTGCTTCATGGAGAGAGAGGCCAATGAATTACGACGGAAAAGACAGCCTGTAGCTAAAAGCATTGTGGAGGTCAGTTGTGAACACAGGTTTGGGGTCCAGTTATTCTGTGATGGTGACATTCTGTTCTATATTAATGGTGCAGGATATTGGAAAAGTATCTCCTCTGTGAGGCAGCCAAACACCAGAGGATCTGTGCTTTCAGCAAAGCTATTTATGTGTGACATCTGACCTTATGACTGCTGCCTGAGCTGGTGTTCTTTCTTCTTCATTAGGAAAGTAGTCCCTACTGAAAAAGGAGAGCTGACTTCCTAGCACTGTTCTTTTGTAACAGAATAAAACAGAAGAAAGCTTTACTTACTAATTGTGTCAAAGTCTGGTCTGCTGAATAGAGAAATGACTACTATTTTAATATAACTAAAATAAGACTTGTAGAGAGAAACCAGTGGTCAGCAATGAGGAAGGCAAGGCTGATTAGGGTGGATCCTCCGTTTTCCTGTGTGAGCTG